AAATAATATTATGACCTGAAAGTTGTTTTTAGTGCATTACAATGTAGAATCTGAGAGATTTTCACAAACTGCCTTTGTAATGGTTATATGAGAACTCTAATGCAGCCAATTGAGATTCCCATGATACTTGTCTGGTGCATTCAGTCAGTTCCCCTTCCCCCCAGACATCTGCTCCGACCAGTCTTGATTTCCCAGCCTGTATGGAGCACAGACAGATGTTCATTTTATCTTCTTCACTGTGCAGTAAAGCAGATGAATGCTGGTTGACTTAATGTGTGAATGCCTTCAGAGATGCTCTTAAGCAACGAAATTAACAGCTCACAAGGTCTAAGGAGATCTGATAGATTTGGAAACCTATTAAAACGGCTCAGGAAGCTCTTTGAATTTGGACTTTACAGATCAGCTATTTTCCTCAGCATTCTAGTTGGCTGTTTCTGGCTCTCATGATCATATATGGAATGCCTAAAATCTATTTATAGTGCTATTTGTTTATACAAATGTCCAGGGGCCCTCCTGCTATCCAAGCAGTTAATAGATTAAAATGTGCCAACCTTCAGCCCCAATAAAAGGTCTTTTAATCTGCACTATCTCCTCCCATAAATGTTTGCTGACCCAAACGTCCTGACATTATGAGTCTTATCTGTATATGTACACTTGGCAAGTTGATATATGTACTGGCTGATTTTTCTGGTCGTGAAATGGAAAGGCCGTGATAATTATTGCCTAAACTAAACTGTTAATGTTGGATTACTGACACAGCCACTCAACAATAGAAGAGTGCTTGAGTTTGAATTACTACTGTACTGAATAGGGCTGGGTGATATGCTTAAAATTTGATATCTCAATATTTTTCCAAATTTTGATGATATTTTTGCCTTTGATCTGGAATAATTAAAACGCTGATTTTCTTCTGCCCCAATTAAAAAAAAAAACAATTTGGATAGAACAGAATGTTTTGTGCAAAAAACACAAAGTTAAAAAAAATGTAGAACTAATGACTATACTACAGATGTAGATGTAACAGTATGAAAAAAGAGTGCAAAAAGAGCATTCTGACAGCTTCTTTAGTGCAGCGTAATTCACATACTTCACTTTACACTGTGCAGCTGGGGTAAATCATGCAAGTGTTTCACAAGTTTTTAGCTAAGAACTAGGCCTGGGCGATAAAACGGTATCGATATTTATCGACGGTACACCTTCGATAACGATATAAAAAATTCAGGAACAGAATTGCATGCTGAATTGAGTGCTGTGCCTGCCTGTGATGAGGAGATTGTGAATAAAAAAATGAATATTAGTCGAATTTAAAATAAACATTTGCATTTGAATGCAAAAACAGTACAATCGAATGTTAGGTGTGCGTCCGGGAGCGTCATCAGTGGCGTGCGAGATGCGGTGATGATGATGTAAGTGACGTTGTAGTTTAATGTTTTGTTAGTCTAGCCCACGAGATGCGCAGTTGCTGCATTATTCATTCAAAATATTAGAGAAATATAGTAGCACTTGAAGAAGAAGATCTTGATTAGGTTAAAACCGAAACTAGGGCTGCACGATAAATCGCATGCAATATTTAATGCACATCTTGTCAGAAAGCCGGTTCTGTAATCAGCGGTAAATCTCCATCACGTGCGTGCTTTCACACGAAACCAAGCCATTCACACAGAACGCATATTCAGCGCGTTTTAGACGGACAATATGCCTGCTGCACTCGCGTCACAAGAGATGTATAGAAAGCCATACAAAGTTAAAACAGTTGAAACTTTTAGAAAACACGTCACGAATTTGTAGAGGTTTCTTCCTTTTCGTTCATTTAGACGTAATGCACGTTTTTTTATAGACAGTTATTTCCTTGCAGTGACAATTTAATGTGCTGCATTATTTTGCTCATTGCGTACATTATACTGTTGATACATTTTTTAGCTATATCGCCCAGCCCTACTAAGAACACAAGTCTGTCAACTTTTTCTGATTGAGGAGATGCTCTGTGGCATGACACTGTTCCCAATGGCACTAACAACTCTTTCAGATGAGGAACTAGTAGCTGGAACACATAAGCATTCTTGGCTAGTTTGCAAGAGGACTGAAATTGCACATTAGTGCCATCTTTGGCACATTAATCTTAATTGTCACGATTCATGATATTCTGTTATTTTATAAAGATTATTCAATTGTTGTGATAATATCTCTACTATTTGATCTATTGCCCAGCCCTACTGAGCAGTTAACACTGATTTTAGACTTTTGTAGCTTCCCGTTAGATTTCTTTGGTCAATCAACTCCAGTTTTGTTTGGTTATGAGCAGGGCTTCAAAAACTATCAAGAGGAAAAGAAGGATGAGATTGAATCAGAAGAGATGACCGGTTTAGGATTGGTATGTTGTAAAGGAAATTTGGGGGGGGGGGGG